GTATTTAAAACAGAAACATAAAATATTAATGTTGAATTTAAATGTTTACATTGAAATCAACCTTTTTTTTTTTTTTTTACGAGTTCAAGATCTGTTTTGATTGCAATGATCCTTCTGCTGGGTGAGAAATGACACAGTATCGGTGGCAAAGCTGAGCTGTTAGATTCAGGGCATTTTCTTTCCTGATTCAGTTGCTGAGTAAATGTAACACTCCTTTATAATTAGAGTCAAAATAAGTGCAACAAGCTTGACAACATGTGCAACGCTACAGTTTCTGTAGCCACGCCCGGGTAAGAAATCACCTGTCACCACTGCTTCTGGGCACACCTCACCATCAGTGAATGATTAAACCTTCAGTGGGCTTAAAACCAGAGTGGCCAGGGAATTTCTGCGTTTTGTTGCAGTTACTCTAACGGAAATTACAGTTTGCTAACTCCCTTAATTATTCTCCCTTCCAAGCTTTCCAGTCTATGGGAAAACATTACCCACCCAAATTCCTTCTAATCAGCTCTACTGAAACTGTTGATAGCAGATTTTTTTCTCTCCTGTGGTTAGTGGGAACTCCTATTAAAACTAAAATCTGTGAGTTGGCTGAAAACTCCATTTGGCTGTCTGAAATATATTTTGGGAGATTTTTGCCTTTTTCTTCGAGCAGTAGAGATAGACAGGAAACGGGGAAGAAGAATGGGGAGAGATCTGCAGTAAAGGGCCGTGAGCAGGAGTCGAATCAACCGCTGTGTCGGCCGTCGGGGAACTATAGCCCCTGTTCATGGGTCACACGCTCAACTAGGTGGGCTCCCATTTGGCTTTTTTAATGTCTCCTGCTGAGGCATTTTAAAACAAGTGCCCGTTAAGTGGTCTTAAATTTTCTCTTGATGGCATGCATGAAATAATGCTCCAAGTTCAGAGAGGTTAAAAAGATAATAGACACCAGATTGCCAAAAACCAGTGTGGGAGAACCGTGGGTGTGTAAGAACCCTAATAAATAAGCGATACAGTCGAACTGCATAATCATGCTTTTACAGTCACTGATCAAATCTGTGCTTTTTATGATATTATAGTCTTCATACATTCTGTGAAAAACAATCATACTGGTCTGATAAACATCTTAATGGTCTGTATAATTCACATTTTTGTTCTCTCTCTCTCTCTCTTTTGCAGTTAATGGAATATCAACCTGTGGTCACAAAAAAAAAAAAAAAAAAAGAAATCCCATCAGCAAATCTAGTGGTGCAGTCAACTAGCCAACCCACGACTGCCCGTTGACCCTTCTAAAAGGATACGACATCGCACAGGACACAAGTATTATTACATTTTACTGTTATGGCATTTTATTAATGGACATCATTCGAAACCACCACCGGGTGGCTGCACACCGTATTTGGACATTATGAAACAAGCATATTGAGAACATTTTTTTTTTCCCGTTTGTTTTTTAAGATGTTTTGGTATGCATTTTAAATATAAAATAGAGATGTTTAAAAATCTACTACTGTAACCTCTCCCAAAAATTAGTTATGTATTTTTATGTGTATTTATGTGTGTGCAATTCAAAAACATTTGGAAGAATCAGAATGTTAAAATTGAGCTTGCTTTAGTTCTGGTGATGTATATACATTGTGATTGTTAATTAAAAAAAACAAACAAACATTGAAATTGCTATTCTTGCTATCAGAGGACTTAAGAGTTTACGTAAAAATCCAGTTTATGAGCTACAATTTATGTTTGCTATGAGCTAAGTCATACTGTTTAAATTGTCAGATTTCAACCTATAGTACTAATTTAAATGTAAAGAAAAAGCAGAGCAGCTTACACTTTGCATTGAGATATGTTTGCCTTTATATCAGTGAAATAAGAGAATGTAGCATATATGTAATATAAGAAAATCCAAGACTATTGTGTAGTGCATGGTGGGGGGAGGGGGTTATTGTGAGTAAGATCATATGAAGCTATAATATCTTCTGTTTAATTTGTCGATCACTGACTTGTTTGCATTTGTTAATGTTGTGCATCAGTCCTGTCCCAAATGTTTCTGCTGTCCTCCAGTATCATGGAACTGTTGTAAAAACAATAACACTGTTATGGTTGACATCCAGCGCAATTATCAAACTCTCATATCCAAGAGGAGGAAGAATAAACTCCTGATTGCCGAAGCACCCCTTACATTTTGTATAAAAATGAGAAGAGAACAAGCTCATTTTTTCATAATGTTTGTACTTGTATTGTATGACTGTATGTAGGGTTTTTTTGTTGTCATTTTATTCTTGTCATACCAGTGTGTTACTTTGCCAGTTGAACAGAGAAGGGTGCAGATGATGAAGATGGAGCAAATGCACTAGTGTCTCTACTTTCAGTCAGGTCAAGTGTTCACCTGATGGTTGGACTGATAAGTCTGGAAGCGTCGCGAAAGCAGTGGATTGAAAAAAAAAATGTCAGAGGAGAGGATGGTAATCAAGAGTGACAGAGTCAAATGGGAGTTGGACTGTAAGAAACGTTGGGATGTCTTCCTCAGTGCTTCTGCCAGCCAGTGATCTCACCGCTGCAGGACAATGGCAGCGTCTTCTTCGTCGTCCCCGCCGTTTGCTCTTTTCAATTGGTCTGTCTCTTCTTTTTTAAGGGGGAAATATATGATAAACATTTCTTTTGACGAAACGTATGATGTCAATGCAATGCACCACTCCTTATATGGTGTGTACCTGTTGCCAGCATGGCAATGGATGGCTTAACATGTTTAAGAAATAAATAAATCAGCTAAAAGGTGTGATAATGAATGGCTATTAAGTTGTTTTGTGTTGCTGGTTGTTTTTTGTTGGTTTGTTTTTTAAAATACTGGGAAAAAAAATTGTCTTTTTTTTCAATTTATTACACTCTTTGAACACACATGCATTATATTTTGATGCAAAAGGAAGTGCTGTCATGTGAATGAAACTGTCACCACTTGGAAACACCAGTTGGACTTGTGAGTAAACTGGCTAGGTTGTACTTTCAGTAACATATTGTTCTCTATTGGACAGATAATTACCGTAATTATAATCTTGAGTCTAAAGTGAGTTTCTTGTGTATACAAAGACATTAAAAGAGTTAAGCACAAGGACTGGTTTGTCAGTTGACTCCTACATTTCAGTTTAATTTTCTGAATTAGTGGAGACATCTTGTGGACACCAGTAGAAGCTACAGACTGTAGGATGAGCTCATCTGTACAGTAAAAGCAACAAGAGGTCACTAGACAACTACATCTTTAAATTACCATGTAAGGGTCTAAGTAGAGTAAATAAAGTTAGATGCTATTTCCCCTGGTAGTGTGGAGGTCCAGAGTGTTAAATAAGCAGGTCAAGCTTAAATAACCCTTGCTGAGGACTTGTTGATCTGGTCCCACCAGACTGGCTGTGAGGAAGTTCTTGCATTGACCTGGTTTGTGGTGGCAATAAGATGAACAGTGAAACATGTGACTTGGCATGAAATGTTTAGTACGCAAAAATATAAATGCAGCATGTAGTATTTCATTAACTTCTATCTATTCTTTTTAATGTAGGGGAATAAGTATTTGGTGATCCAACACATGGCATCTCTACAACAGAATGGACATCATGAAACAACTGAGTATACGCTGTGTTACAAATAATAAGAGAGTAAGGCCAGGATTCACAAGTCAGTGATGCACTACACATCTGTGACACATGCAGTTAATGAGGTTGTTTATTCCGGCTCACAGAATGTTATCCCACTATCCTGAAGGGCTTGGTGAAGGTGACAGACATTTTGGGAGACAGGCTCCATCCTCAGCATCATGATGCATTCTGTCCGTCGTACCAGGCTGTCTGAAACAATTTCTCTGACAACGCATGGTCAAAGTGTGGATATTCTAGTATCTGGCTACAACTCTGACATGCCAGCATCCAGCAGGCCAACAGCCTGTTCCCATCTTTCTTTTGTCATCTGTAACAGCAGGTCATTTTCACAAAGCTGCATTTTAATGAGGTCTTTAATAGCGGCTGGTCAAAGGAGTGTCTGTGTGCTGGTCACACCGTCTGATCATTGTCCTTCAAAGACACACCTGACTGGGGTGCGGATTATCTCAGCGGCCGAGAATTTGTCTTCAGTTAAATGGCTCAAAAGCTTTTTGTGCACAACTGACTAAATGTTATCCTTTTTTGAATGAGAGCAATAAAAATTTGATTTTTAGCTTTTTCTCCAAGACAGGAGACAGTTTGCTTGATACACACACACATCCATCCATTTTCTATACACCGCTTAATCCTCACTAGGGTCGCGGGGGTGCTGGAGCCTATCCCAGCTGACTTAGGGTGAAGGCAGGGGACACCCTGGACAGGTCACCAGTCTATCACGGCTACATTTAGAGACAGACAACCAAGCACACTCACATTCACACCTATGGACAACTTAGAATCACCAATTAACCTCAACAGGTTTTTGGACTGTGTGGGAGGAAGTCGGAGAACCCGGAGAACCCACGCTGCACGGGGAGAACATGCAAACTCCACGCAGAAAGATTCCGGTGCCCCCACCAGGACGCGAACTGGCAACCTTCTTGCTGCGAGGCAACAGTGCTACCCAACTGCGCCACCCTGCAGCCCACACACACACATATGTGTGTATTTTTTCAGTGTATCATAATATAGTCTTGATTCTAATTTAAAACTGTCAACTGCAAAATATAATTACATTCATTCAATTTTATTATAAATTTAGTTATATTTTGAAACTAACATTTTCAGACTGTGTTTAAATGGAATCTACGGCTGAAATGCCTCCTGGCCTGCTCCTGATGCACAGCAGGGGGCAGCACAAAGTCCATTCAGATCCGAAAGGAAAGGCCTTCTAATTTCCAGGCTAACAGAACAGTAAGTCGATTAAGGACTAAAAACATTAACTTCATGCTTTCGGTGTTTTTTAAATACAGTATAGCAGTGATGGTATTGAAAACTGGCAAGTAACTGACAAATCTGCAATTTCACAAGATGCAACCAGATGCAACACTGTACATTTGTAGACTTTTATTCTCTATCAGCCATAGATACACTGCAGCCATTTTGTTTTTGTTTTTTTGAATTTTGATACAGTAATACATGCCCTTATAGATATTTATATATGCACTGTATATGTATATAACTGTCATCATCACAGAAAAGGGATGCTGTTTCTTCAAATTAAAAGCATACCTGTCACAGTGAACTTCCACTAAATTTGCATTTTACATATTTCTAAATCACAAAGTAAACAGTGATAGTGAAATAAATACATTACATGTTGTAGATACATATAGTAGCGATGCTCAGAGCTGTGGATAATCATATGTTTAAGCTCTCAACTTGCCTCGTGTGTCCGTGTATTATTATCTTGTATTTATCATCTGTTCCTTCGAAATGAGACAATCATTGTGGCAAAGATATACTGTACCTCTGTACCTGTGCACAAAAAAGCATGGAGGTGTCCCCTCCCGACATTCAGGAGTGCAACTGCAGTTTGTGTGTAAAATAAACATTTCTTTTGTTTTGCTGACAGAAACTGGCACAGACTCATTCATTCACCACAACATCTGGTTGAAAAGATAAACTGATTAAGTTTTACATTAAATAAAACAATTCCGCAAAATGTCATTTCAGAAATATGTCTCTAGAACAGCTGTGATGATTTTGTACCCCGTTGGCAAATTCTGGAGGATTTCCCATTAAATCAAAGCTTAAATAAGTTCTATATACTAACGTGAACTAAACCAAAAATCAAAAATAAATTCTAAAATATGACATCTTCAAACAACAGAATTTAAAATCACTCAATAATCTCTTCAAACCAGCGGTCAATGCAGTATCAACACATTCTCAGACATACACTACCTACAATCTAGTCTCACCTACACAGTCACCATCCACACAATATGAGTCAAGATCCACAATTTAAGAGAAAAAGCCAGAACAAAAAAAGAGTTAAACATAATTACAAAGAAAGAAAGACACATAGAGAAAGAGGGGAAAGAAAGGCGGAAGGACAATCCATAGAACAACAAAGCAGTCAAAGCTAGGACAAACTGACAGATGTTGATTAGTCATGCCTGTTCTACTTCACATGAGTGATTATTAATTCCTAGGCTACAGATGTCAGTAATGTTTTAGATTATAGATAATATATCATTTCCAAAGACAGATTACACATAGTCTACACGAAACACAACAGCAGCAGTTAAATTCAGTGTCGATACAGTCTGATTTTTCTGTTTGTGACATCTTGACCACCTGAATCCAAAAAAGCAGAGAGGCAAGTACAGTGAGTGAGAGTTTTTTTTTTTTTTTCATTTGTTTCAGAAAGAAATATCTGAGAAGCTCTAGTTGTGAGAGGCAGTGCAATGTGAAATATTGTCTTTCAGTCCAAGCACCTACTCAGAGAGCAGTACCATTATTTTGTAGGTAAAGTGTTCTTTACCTTCAGGAGGTTTGTGAGCTAGTTGATGTGAATAGTGTTTCTTTGTTTCCTTTTTTTTGTTGTAGTTGTTGCTCTACCACAGGATCAAGACAAAAGTATCAGACATGGAAAGTAAAGTGAATCAGGAAAACAACAGAAGGCTTTCTTTGGTCACAAAAAAGGCAAAACAACATCAGAACATGAAAAGAAAATCATGAGTACAATATAACCAGCCAGGGAAGAAAACTCTGTGAACAAAAGGTCATCTTCCAAGGACCTAAATGGGAAGACCGTGGTAGCTTTGAGGTGCCGTGGTGCACACTGGGATTGCATGGGGCTAATGCATAGGATTAGCAGGGACTTTAGCATGGGCAGAGCCAGGGAGCAGGGGGAGAGTGTCACTCATTCTTCTACTCTTCCTCCTCCCCTTCTTCGCCGTCCTCATCACTGTCCCCCTTTTCTTCGTCGTAGTAGCGGTGAAAGAGCTGGTGGAGATGCTGCTGGAGATCACGAGGTTTTGACCCTTTTCCGGGGTTGTCCACTTGCCCTAGAAGGACCTGTTCGTGCTGCCCAGCTCCCTTCACCACTGTTCGTCTGAGGGTGCGACCTTTACGCATGTGGGCCCTGGACATGGGATTGAATCGGAGAGAAACAGTTCAATATCTTTAAAAAAAAAACAACAACAAAAAAACACCTGCAGCTCTGTTTAAAATTAATGAAAGAAATCACACAAGTAATATCATGCTTTGTAAATCCTGCGTTCACTTCCAATCACATGCACAGCTACTTTACAGCTACTTTTTACTTGCAGAAGCCAAAAGATTATGTTATAAAAGTGGGAATGCAAAGGCTACTGCAAACTTCTCAAAGCATGATGCAAAAAAATCTCAACAGAATGTAATAAATGATTTATTAATAATGATATGAAGTTCAGCTCTTTTCAAAAAGCCGGCTCTTGTGTCACGGCTCCCAAAGAAGAGCCGGCTCTTTCCGCTCCTTAATGGCTCTTAATTTATTATCATCTGAACCCTTATATTTTAGCTTAACTTAGCAAATATGAATGCTTTGTGTGTTGATAAACCCTTCTGAATTTAGTGTTATTATGAGAAGCCTTATAATGGCCTATGTTTGTGTATTTTTATCTTACAAAAGCAGGCATTCTCACTTTTGTTTCATATTTTAATCAAACTTTTAATCTAGGGCTGCAAGGTGGATCGGTGGTTAGCACCATTGCCTCGCAGCAAGAAGGTCACCGGTTCGCGTCTCGGTGAGGACACCCGGGATCTTTCTGCATGAAGTTTGCATGTTCTCCCTGTGCAGCGTGGGTTCTCTCCGGCTTCTCCGGCTTCCTCCCACACAGTCCAAACACATGTTGAGGTTAATTGGTGATTCTAAATTGTTCGTAGGTGTGAATGTGAGTGTGCTTGGTTGTCTGTCTCTAAGTGTAGCCCTGTGATGGACTGGTGAACTGTCCAGGGTGTCCCCTGCCTTCACCCTGAGTCAGTTGGGATAAGTCCAGTCCCCCGCGACCCTCGTGAGGATTAAGTGGTGTATAGATAATGGATGGATGGAAACTTTTAATCTTAATTTAACATGAAAACAAATGAACAAAACACTGCAAACAAACCCACAGAACAGAACCAAAACAGAAACAGAACAAAACTCAGTTCAAACACCAAACAGTATGTCCTTAGTGCAGGTTTGCATTCAAAAAAATTTAATGTCTCAGCTTGGCTGGGCTGATGAGGTTTCTCGTCTTGGTTAATATGTGTCCTGTTTTTGAGAAGATTCTCTCAGAGGGAACAGATGTTGCCATAATACACAGTCTCCCCTCCATCACCTTCACCAGATGGGGGAAGACTGAGGCCTTGGCCTGCCACCAGCTCAGTGGGTCTTCTGCTCTTTGGATGAGGGGCTCCTCAAGATAGCATCTCTATTATAACATCAGCTGTGGCACTAAATCCTCACATGTGACTGGCCACAAGGCCGCCATGCTGCCAATCAAAACAAAGTTCTGCCGTGAGCTGAGCTGAGCCACTGAGCAGCGTAAAAAAAAAAAAAGTCGGGAGCCGGCTCTCACTCGATGGGAGTTGGCTCTTCTAATTCACTTGCACATGACACATCACTATTTACTAAATCCACTAAACATTTGACAATAATAATTGAAAAAGTGCATGGAGCGGTTGGCCAGTTGTTTTATTCCTCACACTAAAAGCCATATATCAGACACTGGATTAAAAAAATATATGTTTCTCAAATAACAAAATTAGAAACTCAAATCTCGTTGGTACATTTTATGGTATACCTATGACTGAACAAGAACACAAACATGCCACTAGCAACAGCAATATTAGTGAACATTAAATATTAGTAAGCTTAATAAACACAAGGGATATTGTAAAAAAAATTACACTCAGACTACAACTAGCCTCACAACCAAACAGCTGCACTCCAGCAGACACACACCTCCTGACCACAGTTCCATCCTCTCTGACAGTCTCTCTTTCTACCACATGAGGGAGCTCTGTTCTGCTCAAACCACTTAAATAACCAAGTGCCTGGTGGCGTGAAGAGGAGAAAACAGCATCCACTTAATTTGGAATGATACAATTACGGTAACAGAAATCAAAGACATAGTACGTCTCCATATGATGCGCAGTCACTAGGATTGTAGCTGCAGTATGTTGATGGATATTTAAGCAATGCAATTATGTTTAAATGCATATATATTTATACAGGCTAAATCTGATAAATCTGGGTTAAAAAATAATGGTGACAGGCTTATCAACAAACCTGTTTGAAGTCGTCCTGGGCTGAGGGAAGGTCAGAGGCCAAGGACGGATCACCTCGGTGTGTCATTGTTCTTTCACCCTCCACCACTGTGGTCCTCTCCACGTTACTGACCTTACAAGCATCAGCTGCCTCCTGTCTCAACGATGAGAGACCCTCGTATTCAGCAAATGTTACCTAAGAACAGGTCATTAGTTCCTTAAATGATGCTTTACTATCAACAAATGTCACTGTGTTGGATATTTTCTATTAAAGAAAATTTTATGACTATGATAATGAATTAACACTTAAATTTTCAGAGTACTCACCTCTGTGTGGTCACCCTCACTCTTGAGTACAGTCCGTTTCACCACCTTGGAGTAACCGTCTCCCTCTGGCACAGTGACCAACCCTTGAGAAGCTCCTTCTGATGACACCTCTTCAAGCTCCACACCATCCGCAGACACACACTTGCGAATAACTTTACGGGTAACCTGAGCAAAGTATTTTGTTCAAAAATCAGCAGGTAATTATCTACATATTTTGATGCAAACATTTTCAAAACCTGGCCTGTTGGTGTCTGTAAAAATGAAGAAATTGAGCAACGGTGCAACAAAGAGCCTCTGGTATTGCTCTGCAATTACAGATTTAGTTTAATAAATTTCACTGGCTACTGTGTAATATGTACATGGGGGCTTGTATAGAATCTTATTTTACCTTTTTGACAACTATGTGTCCATTTTCATCCCTGTACTTTTCTTCTGTCACTGACTGAGCAGGGAGGTCGGCCATTTCATCAGCCTACAAGGGAAACAACATGAACGATGATCAGGAATGCAAACTTGAGTCAGAGTGATGCTCACGAGCTTCATTCTCCACTCAATGCATGTTAGAGAGAAAACAGAATGCAAAATTCGAGGTAGTAATTCACAAGAGAAGGGGGAACTTTGGGAAACAGGACACAAATTTGCATTTTTGGGGTTATGTTTGTCAAATAAACCAACAAAGAAGAGCCCACAGCAGCAGAAAACACCGTCAGCCATCTATGCAAATCAAGTGGCAGGTCGAATATTCTTCACACGTTTTCATCCATATGACTAAACACTGTTAGATGGTAGATGTTCTTCAACGTAGCCTGGTTAAGCCTAGTCACCATGCTAATTCACACCAACACTGATCAGACTACTTCAGATACCTGAATGACAACTCTTCTTCGTACTATTCTGGTGGTCACAAATTCATCATCGGAACTTTCTGATATTGATCCAAGCTCTGCGGTGATCTCCTGACCAAGCAATACAAATACCTTGAGATTTAATGATATATAAATATATATATATACAATATATGAATGCTACATTGCAGCAAAGCAAGCGATAGCCAGAGTGATATGGTGCACTATCCAATGTGTTGGATGTTACAAGGAATTTTCAGAGGTTACATTAGAAAGTGCAACATGGCAGTCTGTAATTTCAAAAAACATTTGGAAATGATACCATGCTTTTACTTAACTGAATGATAAATGTGCTTATTGATGATTTAAAAAAACAAACAAACAAACATGTAGCCTATGTTATCACTGTGAGTGACATGCTAATTTAGGATTTGTTAAATATGAAATTAAATAAAATGAGGACTATAAAGGGTTTTAGATCCCATTCATGTGGCCACAGGGTTAGCAGTCATTCCTCTCTGAAGCAAATGTAAAATTTAGTTAAGCTCAGCTCTGGGAAAAACTTGCAGGTTTTTTTTTTTTTTTTTTAACAAATCTCATCTTACCCTTATCAGAGATTTATCAGTATCAGCATATGCTCCAATTTCACAGACAGGAGGCGGTTGTGAAGATTCACACAAGGTGAATTCTTCATCTGATGCTTCTGAATAGTGTAGTAACTCTTGACTCTCTTCATGGACATGATGAAGAGGCTTGTGAGCAAAAGGAGCATCTTCGTAATCTTCGCTCCCAGAAGACAACAGCACTTTTCGATTCGTCTTTTCCGGCACTCTAGGATGACTGACCCGATCCTGGGGCTGGCCTCCACTTGACCAAGCCTTCGACTCAGGTTCATCAAGCTCAGGCTCTGAGAAATCAGAGGCACCTTGTTTGCAGTCAAAGTAAGGCTCTGGGTCAGAATATTGACAGGTTGGGCTGTCTGCACCGCTATGTGCTACCTCTGCGTACCCAGGCGGGATGCTGTACTCCTCATCAGAGGTCGAAGAAGTCAGCTCAGTTTTGGGTTTGTCTGGAGTGGACTGAGAGTCAAAACATTCATAGTCTACTGGAGTCAGCGAGTCTTCTGAATGCGGTCCACTGGTCCTTGGCCTATCCTCATCTGAAGATGTCTCCAAATTGCCTGAGGAGGAGTACGGCATCAATTCCTCAAAGCTGAAATGCCTTGCAGATGTAACTGTCTCAGGAGTTAAATCAGAAATAGACTGAGAAGAAATATCTTCACTGTGAGTGGTTTCCACAGAGCTTGCTTTTCCTAAATATGGAAGTTTATCTGGGACACTCTGTGATGATTTTTCTTCTGTCAAACTCTTTAAATCATTAGATGGTGTAGGCGATTCGTGTTCTTCTTGACTTTGAAGAATGTCAGTTGTAGAGTCCTCCCAACAAAGACTAGTTAGATTTTTCTCTGGTATGTCAGACTGACTCTTTGCAGCTCCCGAAGGAAGTGTCTCAGTGGCATGTCCAGCAGTTACGCTGGGCTGGAATATGTCCTCATGAACAGTTTGGTTCAATGATGGCTTCATTTCTTCACATAGTATTTGCGAAGATTCTGGGACTGGAAAGGACTCAGTTGGCGATACAGGATTGTCTTTATGAATACCAGTGTCAGATGGTACACTTGTCTCAGAAGTTATATCACAACTGACTGCCACCACTTCAGGTTCAGTTTGACGGAAATATGCCGGCTGTGTGACTGCTATATTTGTATGGGTATCTTCTGCAAGCTGTACAACAGATGACACACTGGCTCTAAAAGATTCTGTAGGACATTGATCTTCAAACGCAGCATCTTCAGAATCATAGATTTGAGCAACTTCAGCACGATCATCAGAGAATTCTGATGGTGGGTCCAGTGTTTCTGGTCTAAACTTAAGTTTCATCTCCTCAAGATCTGACAGAAGCTGGTCAAGCTGCGGGGACCCAGACTCTGATGGTGTTGGCGTGGACTCTGAGGACATGATGGTGAGAACATCTGGATCGTCTTGAGCAGTTTGACAGAGTGAGTCCTGGGTCATTGAGCTTGGTTTAGGTATAACAGAATCTTCACTTTTTTTAAGGAATGAGAGCTGTTTATCTTTTTCCTGTGATGACTTACTTGGATAATGTGTTTTACCTATGTCAGAGGTATCTGAAAGAGGTAATTCTAGTTTTTCAGTAGAAAGTGTGTCTGAATCATGTGCCAAGGATGGTGTCTCAGGTAGAATGACCTGACTCTGTTCTAAATCAACATTTTTTTGTTCAGGAGACTGTGAAATATTTGTCTTGGAAGATGCAGTTGATACCTGAAAGAAATGATACAATGGAGTGGGGAAACAAATTACAAATGATTATCATTTATGGTTTCTTTGTTGATGAAATGAAGACTCAAATGAAACATGCATTTGTCAAGGACAGGCTGTTGTTCTAATTAAGAGAGCAGTATCTCTAAAGATGAAATTCAATTGTAGCCCACATGCATGTCGGTCATAATTATCAACATATTATTTATGTTAATAACATCAGTTTAGGAGACAACATATCATTTACACAATATGCAGTATAGAGGGTCACAAATTAATTTAAGTGAAAATCAGGATGTCGTGTAACATTAAAGTGGAAACTCATTTTAAGTAAATGGTTGCTGCCTGTCTAAATGTAAAGCCAGAAAGCATTTTACTTCCCATGAAATGCAAGATTCGGCAGGTTATAGTATTTCTCACAGTCAAATGATACTGTTTCCTGCATTTCTGCTCCCTCCCCCAAAACGTAAATAATACTGCTTTCACAGCGAAAAACTATGACTGACTGACATATAACTTCAATAACACAATTACAGGCAGAATATTGGAGGAGGGCAGCAGTGGAAAGCAGTATCTTGCTATATTCATGCAATTATACCATCACATTTAATTTAGCAACTGAACTCAATTCTAAATTGACCTCATCTCTGCCACTGGGACACAGTCATTGAACATTACAGGTGCCAATAGGGTGGTATGTCTATGTAATCCTTTTTTTAAATGTTTGTTATAAAAGCAGTGGGAGTATGGGCCTTGCAAACAAGAGGACAAATATAGCAAACCATACATGCCTCTAGCTGTGGCAAATTTAGACTTTTATGGTTCTTTGGTGAAAATCTAAATAGTGCTTTGAAACTGAGAGTACAATATAACTGAGAAATAAAACATAAAAAAGGCTTATGTTACGAAGATAGGCTCATGGTAATTTACATTAGTTTTACTTCGCTTAAAGATCAGTTCGTCTGCTTGAATGCAAACATGCCACAGCAAGACAGTAAAGCCTTTGTTTGTTATTCGTGCTTGAGGAATAGTTCTACTAAATACACACTTTATGTATTGCCATATTCATTACTTTTGAAGCCAACACCACATTCACTGATATGCAATAGCTTGTGCTGTCTTACCGACACCAAGGAATTTTTTCTCTTGTCCTTGCTCATGGATTTTCTTTTCATGTTCTTGGGAAAACAAATCTTGGGTGTGCGTCATCTTTAATTGTGATTCAGGATCTGTCCATTTATGTTCATACACGAGTGGTCTTCATATCTTCGATTCTTTGTTTTGAGTTTGTTCATAGAAAGCCTCCTCCAGTAAGACAGCATAATTAAATTGATCTTTTTTTCACAGATGGCTTGTGACTCAACTCTGTAAAATTGGCTAATGATGTATGGTTTGACCTGACCTAGTCTTGATTCATTGGTGTCCAAGGTAAACGCCTGACAAAAGAACAAAAAAACAAGCAAAAAAAAAAAAAAACAAAAAAAAGGCTGAAGTTCTGATAGCGATTTTTTTCAAAAATAATCAAACTCTCATACTGACTTAAGAATTTGAGGGATAGACAGTCAATAATCGGGGAATGATGGTGAATATTTATGATCTAAAGGAAAATTCTGAAGGATAAATGAAATTAATTGTCAAACATAATTGGAAATCTAGTCTGATCTCATCAAAACAAAGCATAAAAACATAAATAATTATAATCTCTCCAGCAAGGGAAAAATATATTTTGTGATTTCCCAATGTTTTGTGAGACTCCTGGTCAATGACTACGTGTTGAACGTTGAAGAAAAAAAATATGAATCCATCAACCAGATCCACTGGTTTAGCTCAGTGGTTACTTCAGAACAAATCGCCTTTGCCCTAAGTTGGCTGGGATAGGCTCCAGCTCGCCCGCGACCCTAGCGAGGATTAAGCGGTGCATAGGTAATGGATGGATGGATGGATCAACTAGGTGTAATATCTCAGGTGATGTTAGAATGGACTCCAACATCAAAGTACACTCATTAAATTGAATTGATTAAAGAAATGTTGGTCTAGTGTCAACCTTTTTAAACAGTGCTGTGACATGCAATTACTGATGAAAGAACAACAGTGACAGCATATTTCAAGACAGAAACTCATCTTTTTCAGAGAATAATGAGATGTGAAAACTACGAGAAGGACTTGAAATGTTGCTTGTGCATTGATCTGTGAAGTTGTATTACAACGTTTATTGAGGGAAATAGGATTAATGATGGTTGACGAAATTTATTGGTTGCATTCACAAAATTGAATTTCACAACATGAACATTTTCCCTTATAAACTGGATCAAACGAATGTGACATTAGTTTGTTAAAAAAAGGCTTGTGTCTGACCCTGCATGTTGTTAAAACTGTGTCATGAGAGTTGTGGGAAAATAAATCAGAAGAAATAACGCAGCGCTGCGAAGGATTTGTCTGAGACAAATGTACTGAAACATTTGTCTTTAAAAATGATGTTGCTTCGGGTTCAAGTGTAATGGGCTGGATTCGATCTACAGGATGAAGAGGCCTTGCAAGGCAGAAAAAGGGGGTTGATGGTCCAAGAACATCTATGTGATTAGAAGAAACAAGGGAAAAGGAATCTGGAGACTCGGCTCTGTTTTCATCAAACATTTCTTCAAGACAAAATTCAAAGTCCTCAACATCTGACATCATTGACAGAGGTGATATTGCTCTGTTTTGAGAGAAATTTAAATAGTAGTCACAATGTTGACCCTTCATCTCAGCAAATGTTGTGACAGGAGGAAATGAACACTCCTCAACTGAGGCCACAGAGTCTGGGGAGGATGCTCTAAAGTCCAACAGCCAGTCGTGCAAGAGCGAAAAGTCATAATCAGAAAGTTCAGATTGTGGGGACAAGGCTCTGCTACTAAATAGCTTGTCAAGCTCAAAGTCTGATAACACTGACTGGGGGGAGTCTGGCCTGGCCTCTTCAAACAGAAATTCCAGACAGAAATCAGTGCCTTCCCAGTCGGATAAAGTTGACTCCGGTGTAAAAGACCTGTGACCTGACAATTCCACATTGCAATCAATATGACTAGATCGGAACTGAGGAACTGGTGAGTCAGGAGAGAGGGGTCTAAGTTCACTTTGAGATTCTACTGACTCGGGAGAATGCGGTCTGGACTCGGCCACCCATTCGTCTATTGAGGGAAGGGTGCATTCCTCCTGTGATGACATGGCCCAAGGCCACACAGTTCTCC